CCCCGCCTGGTGTCCTACTCCTCATCTCCCCGCCCGGTGACTCCTCGTGTCTTTCGCTTCCAGGAGCAGGGCACCCCATGAAGCCGCACCGCCTGGCGCTGACCCACAGCTTGGTCCTGCACTACGGGCTCTACAAGAAGATGATCGTAAGTGGCGCTTCTCCCGTGGTCCGGCGGGGGCCACCCCCCAGGCGGCGTTTTTTTGGCTTTGGTGGGCAGCTGCCAGAGTGGGCATTTTAGGCTTCACCCTGTGTGACTAGCGCAGGAGACCCCACACTGTCCTGCTGACTTCCATGGCCTCCATGTTCGGGCTTGGACTGCGTTAGCGAGTTCTTCACCGCTTGCTTGTGTTGCTCCCTCTCCTTCAGCTCTGCTTTTGGCACAGCAGGTAACAGTTGTTGCAGATGAGGCTTTAAGCGGTCTCAGGCATTCTCATCGGCCTGAGCCCCCACCATACCACCCAGAGCTGATTTGAAAGGCACCATTGCTGCTTGTCAGTGTCTTGTTCAAACTTACAGTGCCATTCTGGGAGCTGCAGCAGTGCCACTGGGGACCCTACGTGAAACTTTTTAGCATGTAGTGATAATCAAAAAGAAAAGTTAACTTTTTATCTTTCAATAAATGAATCACAGAATGATTTGGATTGGAATGACCTTAAAAGGTTGTGTAGTTCCAATTCCCCTGACATGGGAAGACCTTCCACTAGACCAAGTTGCTCCAAGCCTCATTCAGCCTGGCCTTGGACACTTCCAGGGATGGGGCATCCGCAGCTTCTCTGGGCAACCGGTCCCAGTGCCTCCCCACCCTTTCCATGAAGAACGTCTTGCTGATATCTAATCTAAACTTTCTATTTAACCCCGTTACCCCTTGTCCTGTCACTACAGGCCCCTGTAAAAACACACCCCACCCCAGCTTCCTTGTAGGTCCTCATCAGGTACTGGAAGGTCCTATAAGCCTGGAACCTTCTCTTCTCCAGGCTGAACAAGCCCAACTCTCTCAGCCTGTCCCCATAGCAGAGGGGCTCCAGCCCTCTGAGCATCTTCGTGGCCTCCTCTGGACTCGCTCCAGCTGGTCCATGTCCTTCCAATGTTGGGGGCCACGGAGCTGGACACTGCAGGTGGAGTCTCACAAGAGTTGAGTAGAGGGGGAGAACCACCTCCCTAACTAGGTGGGGGATAATGGAATATCACCATGAGTGTGTGGCACCCCTCTTTTGAAGTATTTGATTTCACTGGATGCAAGTCAGATCGAACCGTGCTCCTTTCCTTAGCATCCTTTCCGCTTTTCTTGCAACACATGCAAAGCTCTCAGCAGTACAGGCCATGTAACTCAGTGCCTGGCAATACAACATCAAGGCAGGAATGGAAAAAGTCATCTACCATTCTTCCCCATGGTGATGTACAGAACATGCTGCAGCTACTGATTGTGTTGGAGCAGCTTGTTTTGCCTCCTGTTGGCTCATTCTCACTCTCGGTGTGGCAGGGTTGCTTCTGAGCTGTTTTGGACTGTTGGGCAATTTAATTCCTGGGCTGGCTGGCATGGTTCCAGGTCATGCTGTCTGATCCAGAGGACAGGTGTAGCTGCTGCTTATTGTCTCCATGGCCTGTGATCTGTTAGTGCCCTGGGGAAAGGCCCCTACCCAGAACATGACCCTAAGGAAGGATATAGACCGGTTGGAGCGAGTCCAGAGGAGGCCATGAAGATGATTAGAGGGATGGAACCCTTCTGCTATGGGGACAGGCTGAGAGAGTTGGGGGGATTCAGCCTGGAGAAGAGAAGGCTCCAGGGAGACCTCATTGCAGCCTTCCAGTACCCGAAGGGGGCTACAAGGAAGCTGGAGGGGACTTTTTACAAGGGCCTGTAGTGACAGGACAAGGGGTAACGGGTTTAAATAGAAAGTGGGGCGGTTTAGTTTGGATATCAGGAAGAAGTTCTTCCCAGAGAGGGTGGGGAGGCACTGGAACAGGTTGCCCAGAGAAGCTGTGGATGCCCCATCCCTGGAAGGGTCCAAGGCCAGGCTGGATGAGGCTTGGAGCAACCTGGTCTAGTGGAAGGTGTCCCTGCCCATGGCAGGGGGGTGGAACTAGATGATCTTTAAGGTCCCTTCCAACCATTTAAGGTCCCAACAAACCATTCTATGATTCGAAGTGTTGTAGGCTACAGCTCCAGGTAATTCTGGATTATGTACATACATGAATGTATTTATATATGTACGTATAGGGACATACGTGCATTTATGGTGTCTTTTCATGGGAATTGCCTCATTAAAAGAGGTGAAGAGTGCTTCTATCACAGTCACCACTGTGATGAGCTAGCAAACAGGGGAGGGGAGGGGAAAGAAAGGCACAATACCATCATTTCACTGATCTGTGAGGGATGTTGTGACTTTCCCCTGTCCTTCCTCTTTATCCTCATGCCTCCTGTGTGCATTCTTCACCCTCCTGCAATTCAGCACCGCTTCGTGTGACGCTCTGCAAACCAGCTGCTTCCCCTGTTGCTCATGAGCCTGAACTGGATGACCCTGGAGGTTACTCAAAGGCGTGCGCCCTCCAAGTGATTGGTGAACTCAGTCATAGATTGTTGCTTGCACTTGTAGGGGATTGCACATAACTGGTACTAGTCGAGGTTATTTTGAGGCTGTGGAGAAGAAAGCATGATCAGCTTGTCTCAGTGCTGTGTTCTCACATCTGCAGCACTCTTTAGGGATAAATAATGAGCCGCTGGGAAAACAGTGATTGTGCAGAGCTGTCAGACAGAAACATACAAATCCAGTCCCTCTCCGGCTAGACCAGACACTTCTCCAGACTGTGATTAGCTTTCCAGGCTCCCTTGTCCCTACTGTTAAGCAAAACCAACTTCACATCCTCAAAGACCTGACTAAATTATTTAGCTGTGATACCGAAAGAAGCCTGTCCTTAAGGGGCACTTCTCGAGAACTAGAGAATTGGGTGATGTTAAATACAAAGTTATATGACTGTGGGCACAAGAGAGTGGAATTAGACCAGTGGTTTTTAATTCTGGCATGTTTACAGCATCTTCTCCACTACATGGGCAGAACAAGGTGTAAAATCTCTGCAAGCATGACAGCAGTACAGCTTTCCTGCTTTTTGTTTTTTACGGCAGAGTCTGAGCAGCCAAACTGAGACGAGTTGGGCAGAGGGAGAAGCTAGATCTCGGCTGCTTTGTTGTTATCTCTAGCACCACGCAAGTGCCGAGTGTTTGGCCTGGGCTCAAGTTCAAGCTCTTCCGCTGCCAGTGGGTCAGCTTGTGGTGAGAGACTTGTAGCCTGAGCGAAAGCAAACAGAAAATAAGCTGTCCCAAAACTAAAGCACGATACCAATTTTTAAAGGAAGGTGCTAAAATGGACCAGCAGAAGAGTTTCTTGATGCAGTATATACTGCATATATACAGTTCTTGATGCAGTATATACACCTGCAGCGTGGTGACCTGCTGTTGTGTTCACAGGAGGGTGCAGCTGGAGTGCACTCAGGGCATGTGGAATCTTTGCAGGATTTACCTTTTGGATTTTTACTGTAAATGTAGGAAGTTCTATGAATGACTTCCCTAGAGCTGGGATTTTTCGTGCAGAAACAGCAAAAAGCATATTCTGACATAACACTTCTAAATGTCAAATCCACGTCTGAATGAGGCAGAGCTGTACGCTTCGCCATATTTTTAGTTGTGAAACCCTTTTTGAGGGTTTTATTTTCCACAAGGTGCCACAGTGAAGCTGAAAACCGCAGAGGAAACTTCATCCTGAACAAGCAAATAAAAGCGGGGATTGTGGGTCAGTTGTGGCCATAAAAGCACCTGTTAACTTGGTGTTGCAGTTACATCATTATCTGCCTCCTCCAATAAGAGAATGCTATCCTGTCAAGCCGGGCTCGCCTCTGCACCTTTCCCAGCTTCTCTGTGGCTGAGGCACACAAGGACGCAGCGAACCAAGGCTCAGTGCTGGTGAAAGAGGGAGTGTTGTCCTGCTGCTCACCTTCCCTGCTGTGTCTTGCCACTGCCTGCCTGGTGCTGGAGGCTGTCGGATCCCTGCGAACCAATGCAACTCAGTAACGCCGGGATAGTTTCTTGTGGAGTTAGCAAAGCGAGGCAGCTGAGTGCCAGAGCTTGCTCAGGAAGGTGGGTGGGAGCAGAGTGAAGGGTGGAAGGAGACAGGTTTCTTCTTCTGCCAGCAGCTGAGCTAGTCTTGAAGTTTTTGGTCTTTTTTTCTCCCACTCCCCTTTCTGTTTTGAAATTACATGTCCCTACTTTTTTTTTTTTTTTGTCCAAGAGAGCCTCTGAATATCCAGTGAGAGCTATTTCTTCTCTGTGAGGATACTTTAGTGTTGGTTTTGGTCTTGTTTGATTTAATCAACTGCCTGGCTTCCTGGGAGGAACCTGTGCAGAGCCCTCGTGGGGAATAGACTTGCCTTGGCCCTTAGGTGTAACGGCTCGGGCTTCTGAGTCGCCTCATCCTCCCTGTTTGAGTTATCAGGGGCAGCAGCCTCTGAGAACCACCGAACCCCACACGCCTACGTGGAAAACACTGCACCACGTGCAGATCAAGTCAGGAGGGGAGGTGACGGGTTTGTTAGGGTATATCGTGTCTCTGAAAATTAAAGTTTCCCCTTAGCCTGGGAAACAGGTGTGTTCTTGCAGTTGCCCTAGGAAATTTTCCCTTTGGAGACAAGCTGGTGCATCTTACTGTTTTTTTCTTTTTATAAAGCCCATGCTTTAATTAAGAGAAATTGGGAAACACAAAAAAGATCTCATACTGATTTCAGTGCAACTTTAATTTCCTCTTGCCAGGTATGTGGTGTTAATTTTGAACTTCCTGTTACAGCAAGATATGGGCATTACGTGCCAAACTGGCAAGCCTGTATTGTCACAAGATCTTTAATCTAAATCCATCCAGTTCCCTGATCATTTTTTCAGCAGTCTTCCAAAGGAAACAATCCTTATGCAACTCTTCTGTCTGTCCGTGAGCATTCTCCGAATAACTTTTGAACCTATTGGCTCATTCCAGGCAAATCTGACAGAGGGATGGAAACCATCCCCATATGAAGGTCTTAAAATTGTATGAAAGCTGGTGACAGAGAAGGGAATAGTGCCCTCCGGTGAGGAAAAAGCTGTAGTTTCAACTCGGCTGTTTTCTGCTGGCTTGCCCAAGTGGGGAGGTGTGTGCAATGGGGAAAGGAAGACAGCAGAGAGGATGTGGCAAGAGCTGCAGTTATTATGAAGTAGGGGACGGATTTATGGCTGAAGGAGAAAATTTGGTAGGAAAGCAGGCTTCATGGAGCAATTTACTGAATTTAAATTAATCCAAATGTCAGGAGCCAGTGTATTGGAATGTTTTTTGATATACCACACACAGGGTGTTTGTTGATCAGCTTGAGATTTCTGACAGCTGAAGTAAATGTGTGTTTGCGTGGGAAATAAGTCTTGCCTTTCTCTCCTGAAGGTTTTCAAACCGTACCAGGCATCCCAGCATGACATGTGCCGATTCCACTCCGAGGACTACATAGACTTCCTGCAGCGAGTGAGCCCCAACAACATGCAGGGGTTCACCAAGAGCCTCAATGCCTTCAACGTGGGTGATGACTGGTGAGTGCTCTGGGCCTCCTGCGAACCCACAGTCGGGAAGGGTTTTTTTGTGTTGCTCATGGCCACATGGCCACAGAGCTCTTTTGGAACATGCCATTTCTTTTTTTTAACCAGAATGAGGTGTGTGTCCCTCCTGTGTGTATCAGATTACCGGAACCTCCTTGATTCCTTTCCCTTTAGATCTTGCAGGCCTCCTTTCTAGATCTGTATTTAGGCTGTAAGCTTGTTGGGTTAGAGACTGCATCTCTGCTTGTTCTTGCAGAGCCTCCAGTTCTTGAACATACTAACTTTTTTTTTTAAATAATTGCCCATTGTTTTACCTATCTTCATATGTGCATGTTAAATTAAAGACAGCTTTGAGAGCCTGGTTTTCAGGTAGAACTGAGGAGATACTTGTGCTTCTGTACAAAGCTACATGAGATCTTGTTGGGAATATTCAGTGCCAGTCTTTAGTGCCTGTGAGAGATGAAACTTGAAAGAAATGTGTGGCAGGGCTCTGTGGGTGACTGAGGAAGTAGCAGTGTGGGTGAGGATTATAAAGGCTGTTGGAGAGTAAGGTTGTTCTTATGTATTCTCTGGAAGGGAAAGCTGTAAGTACTCCATGGGAGGAGTTACATTAGCTAGGAAATGGTGTTATCCCAGGAATATACTAGTGCAGTCTGGGTTTTAATATTTAGGCTGAGAATGAGAGGACTGCTCTATAAGCTTGCTGCTCTGATGATCAGAAACCATCTTTTTATCAGAATTGAAAGGGGAAATAAAACCCCACAGTCTTTAAGCCGTTGCTTGTGCATGAATGTGTGACATGATGCTAGCAAGCTGGTGACACGGGGCTCCATGTCCAGGGTTTTGTACTCCCCTGGTGCCTGGGCTGGCTCTGCCTGGTGGGATGGTTCAGAGATTGTGCGCTGAGAAGCAGAGTGGGGGCAGGATCTTCCAGATACAGCCCAGGGGGAGAAGTGCAGGAGCAGATCAGTCCCCCCCTCTCCTGATGCAGTGTCTCTCATCATCTCCTGGCTCTGGGGACATGTCAGCAGGGCTGCAGGATGGACACCAGCAAGCCTTGGGAGCAGTCTTTTTCAGGACTAGCTTGGAAGCTTTGGTAATCATTATCCAATTTGCTGTGTTTCCCATTGTGTTTGCTGCCTGCCGGTACTCTGTGTGTCATAAGCAGGGTCAGAGTGATCCCAAATTAACTGTTTCACAGAGAATGAGTTTTGATTTGACTCAGCTAATGGCCGTGGACATTTTTCTCCAGAGCAAAGCCAGGAATAAACAGGGAGGAATGAGAAGAGGTTCTGTGTTTGAATCGTGGTTTCTTTTTCAGCCCAGTGTTTCCAGGCCTCTTTGAATTTTGCTCTCGCTATACTGGGGCCTCCCTGCAGGGAGCGACGCAGCTGAACAACAAGGTAACGGAGCTGGTGTCCTTATCTTTTGAAATACAGGCGGAAGCCAACTGGTGTTCAGTTTAAGGAGAACCTCGTGGGTTTGTTCTGTAAAACAACGTAGCGAGCACTGCTGTGCTGCAGTGTAAATACCTAGTGCTGTAGGGCTGTTAAGCTTGAGACCATTCCTGCACTGTCAGAGGCAATCATTTCATAGATGTTTAACCCGGAGGGAGTCAGAGGATACTAATGCTGCATATACTGAAGTCACAAAGTACTCTGTGTTGTAGAACGAACCTTGGGTCTCCAGTGAAACTAGCTTCTGGGAGACCTCAAGAGCACTGCTGAGTCTGTGCGTGGAAATGCACTAAATGAGACCACGCAGAGGGTCTGAAGGAGAGGGTCCCTCGAGAGGGTATTAAAAAAAACCCCAAACTACTGAGGTTTGAGTCTTCAGAGTCCTGATGAAGGTCTAGTGAGTGTAAAGAACAAGTGCAGGAGCATGCTGTATGTGGCAGGTGCTCTGCCTGCAGCTGGCTGGAGGGGGAGCAGTGGTGGTGGGAGATGATCCATTCTGGTCTAACAGGAAATGTAGAGCACAGGACTAATCCAATATGGCCATGAGGTAACCACTGTTGGCTGGGCTAATGACCAAGATATGGAGCTTTGGAAAGGCCTCCGTAGGAGAAGGCCAGATGGGTGTTTGTGGGCCACAGAGCTGGGCAGGTTCAAGTGGGTGCACTGGGGGAGTGGGTGCAAGGCTGTTACCTTAAACTAACTTCTCTTTCCTGTTTTTAGATCTGTGATATTGCAATAAACTGGGCAGGGGGCCTGCATCATGCCAAAAAGTTTGAGGTAATGAGGCAAATCTGCATATTCCTTTGTCTTTTTGAGGCCCAGGCTGTGCTGATCTCCTTCTAATGCTAATTGGTTTTCTCTGTCTTGCAGGCTTCTGGTTTTTGTTATGTTAACGACATAGTTATTGGCATCCTGGAGCTGCTCAAGTAAGGACGAGGGGCAAGTGCTGTACTGTGTGGTTTCCCTCTGCTGCCTCCCTGTTCTCTCTCTGTTTCCCCCTCCCCTCGTTTGCCTTTCTAGAGTCCAGAAAGGCCAAGAACTTTATTTTTGTCCTGGCGTCCTCTTTAGGCACAAGAAGGGGTGCTTGAGAATGGGAATATCTGACTCTGGTTTTGTTGCATGCAGCTTAAGGGATGCAGGAGAGTTCTTCAATTCTATTTCTCATCCATCTGTGAAATACTCATTTCAGGGTCTCCTGAGTCTGGCGTTTTGCCACAGTGAGCCTTTTGTAGTTAAATACAAATTATGGCTCACTGGAGACAGTTAAATTACTCGAATCTTTCTTGATTTGCTTGAGTGGCTTAAGAACAGGACTTGAGCAACACGTGGATGATCAAAGGACACTTACTTGGAGTGGAAAAGAGATTTTTTTTTTTTTTTCTTTCTAGAAAATGAAAAGTAAATTCAGGATGGGAGGAAGAGTTAAAGAAATCCATTCTCTTTCTTGGATTCATCTGTGATGGGGTTTTTTTGAGTACTTTCAAATGCCTGCCTTGTCACAGAATCTGAGACAAGATGTTAGGGAACTAGAAAAGCTTTGGGTTTGACCAGACAATAGTTAAATGACTGGTGGCAAGCTTACTTGCTTTCAAAGTCAGATTTATGGGATGTGCTGGGGTTTCTAGTACCTCCTTCCTCTGCCAGTGTTCCTTGCTCTGTGTTTGGAACTTCAGGTCTCCACTGTGTATCTCTGCATGCCCATTTTCTAGTCTCACGGGAGTTCCACAGACCAGAGGCTTCAAATAAGCCCAGTTATCCCTCATGGCCGGTCATAATATGTCCCAATTCTTTTGTCCCGTGTTTTCAGGAACCACTTCTGCAGTGGGTGGCTGCATACTTGGGTTTGCTTCCCACCCTGGGAGTGCTGGAGTGCCTTTGCCCTTAGAAGGTCCAGTGTGCAAGGGCTGTGTGTATGCATCCCCTTTTTCTCCTGGCTGTCAGTTGTCTATGGGACAAGTAATCTGGGTTGTCTTCAATAGCTTATGTCTCTCTTGGGAGACTGAGGTGAGGTACTGGTCTGCTAATCAGCACCATCAACCAGTTTGATCAGATCACAGCAGACGTGCTTAAAGCCAGGGTTCCAAGGTGGATGGCACAAACCACATGGTCCTCTTCTCTGTTTCGATGTTGTCTTGTTTTTTTCAGGTCCCTCCCCAGTCCCCTGGGGTTTTGGCATGGATGCTAGATCCCCTGTTGTTTGGGCATTGACCAGATGCAGTACTTTCTTGTGAGAAGTTGGAGAAGTTCTCTCCAGCTGAGCAGGCAGCTCTAGAGCTGGCAGGCAGGGATGGCTTAGGACCATGTCTCCAGTGCTCGACAGCACATCAGCTTGACCGTTACCCCAGAGCATTTACATGTGACAATCTCCACTTCTTCACCCTTTTTGTCTGTGACCCTGCAGGCTGCTTCTCCAGGAAATTTAGTCCAGCCTGGTGTTCTTGGTGCTAGCCAGCTGGGACATAGTGCTGCCAGGACTCTGGCACATGGAGGAAATAAGTGTTCCTAACTCCTCCTTGGCTAGCTTACCTCTCATTTCCTGATGCAATTAAAAATCGCTGGAGCTCTTAAAGATTAACTAACAGCATGTTCTTTGTAGAGGAAGCGAAAAGCCACAACTTTGCAAGACCCAGGTGGTTAAAATGGGTTCTCTTCATCATGTGCTTCCCAAGACATTTCTGGTGCTATCTGAAAAACCTTTTATTTTAATACTTGTTTCCAAGCACATCAGAGGAAATGGTTTTAGTGGTGGGGCATGTTTGACTGTATACAGATGTGTTGTATTTGATGTGCCTCAGGTGGGACAGGTCAGTTCTTTTGGCAAGTGGGCGTATAGGTGGATGTTGGTGGTGGTTTTTAGAGTGCCAGGCGATGCTGAGGCACGTGAGGAACAGTGAGACTGGTGCAGTGCAGACAGTAATGCTGGTTTTCTTCCTGTATTCAATAGATACCATCCGCGTGTTCTGTATATTGATATCGATATCCATCATGGAGATGGCGTGCAGGAGGCTTTCTACTTGACGGACCGTGTCATGACTGTGTCCTTTCATAAATATGGAAATTATTTCTTTCCTGGTACAGGTATGTATTTTCTCTTATGGTGTGAACTTGGCCTTGCTTCAGAATCCTTTGAAAGCTCTGCTGGAGTGTAAAAGTGTAAAACAACAAAATCAGAGCTGCAGGGAGAAATGATGGAAGAAAGGGCATGGGAAAGCAATTAGCAAGGAACAGATGTATTGTTATTTGTAAAAAAGAGGCATCCTAGCTAAGTTAAGAGATCCAGGCCTCTGAAGTCTCAGAGCTGTTGTGACTCTTATGTCTTTCCCTGGCCAGGAGACATGTACGAAGTTGGCGCAGAGAGTGGTCGTTACTACTGTCTCAACGTGCCTCTACGAGACGGCATTGATGACCAAAGTAGGTGTTTCCTGCCGGTTCCCCTTGCCCAGGCGTTTGCTGGTCCTTCTGCTCCACAGCCATGACCAATCGTATCTCTTCCTCCAAAGGTTATAAACACCTCTTCCAGCCAGTCATTAATCAGGTGGTAGACTACTACCAGCCCACCTGCATAGTACTGCAGGTAAGAAAGCAAGTCTCTGTGCATGTGTCCATACCTTTTGGAGGCTGTAGGTTGGAGGGGGCTGCTATTGATGTGTTACCTTCTGTTCCTGGGGAATCAGGGTTGGTGTGTTCTAGCTGAGCTGCTGTCTGTACCCGCTGGTGAATGAGGGTGGCCGGGGTGGAGATGCTGATGTGTGTCTGGAAAGCAGTGCCTCTGCAACAAAAACTCAGTTGTTCTTTTTCTGTTCCACAGTGTGGTGCTGATTCTCTGGGTTGCGACCGTTTGGGTTGCTTTAACCTCAGCATAAGGGGACATGGGTAAGTGCAGCGGGGCTGGGGCAGAGCAGTTAGCTGAAAGACCGTCCGTTAGTCTGAAGGCCTCTGAGTCCTCAGCTGTAGCCCCCCGCCCCCCCCCCAGCCACACCAGCAGGTTTCTGGGGGGGTTTAATTCTTGGGTGGCAGGAGGAGGGTCTCGGAATGGGGCTTTGTACAAGGTGCTGCAGAGTGGTGGTTCCCAGGGTAGCACGTGGTTCAGGCTCCCTGGGTGGGAGCCCTGAACTCCAGGTGTATCACACCTGCCATGGTGGTGTTCGAGTGCACGGTGGCATTTCTGACACGTGAATGTGTGCTGCAGTTAACAGCTCTGGCATTTTTTTGTTTGGGGTTTCTAGGGAGTGCGTGGAGTACGTGAAGAGCTTCAACATCCCCTTGCTGGTGCTGGGAGGAGGTGGTTACACAGTCCGCAATGTGGCACGGTGCTGGTGAGTCCTTTCTCTGATGATTTGAAGGTCACTGGTTAAGCAGTCGCTGTTGGCTTTGTCCCTGCATGCACCACGTAGCTTTCTCTGGGCTGACCTCATCGTATTCCGTATTTCAGGACTTATGAAACATCATTGCTTGTAGATGAAGCAATCAGTGAAGAGCTCCCATACAGCGGTGAGTTGGAGTTCCGTTTTTCCTCATTAGCTGGGCTAAAGCATTTGTTACATCAACTGAAGAATTAACCTTTCTGTTCTGCATTGAGCACAGATAAGACCAGGGACAAAGTGACACAGGGCACTTGCTGGCCTTAGAGACGGCCTTAGTTGTCTCCTACCACCCACTCGTAGACTTTGCTGGGCAGACACACCCTTACGGTGTCACGTTATCATTTAGTTTGGATCGTTTCCTGTTCAGTGACCTGAGCGTTACTTTCGCTCGCCCTGTTGTTTCATGTAATTCCTCGTGGTCACATCCTACCACCCACTCGTAGACTTTGCTGGGCAGACACACCCTTACGGTGTCACGTTATCATTTAGTTTGGATCGTTTCCTGTTCAGTGACCTGAGCGTTACTTTCGCTCACTCTGTTTCATGTAATTCCTTGTGGTCACAGAGCTGTACATCACTGAGCTTTTTAGGGTCTGGTCACTCCTGCCGTGGTGGGAGAGTGCAGAGCAGTGCAGGCTGGCTCCCCTGCCTCCGTGCTGTGACACTCTTGCTTGTTCCATCACAGAGTACTTTGAATACTTTGCTCCAGACTTCACCCTTCATCCTGACGTCAGTACGAGGATTGAAAACCAGAACTCCAGGCAGGTGAGTGCTTGCAGCCTTACTGCAGTATCAGCTGTGTACTTCCAAAACCCTGGGGTTGATGCTGTGTCCTGTGAAACAGGTAGAGCCCAGGCAAGGAGATCTTGTGGGGCAGAAAACTGACAACAAGCAGAACCTTTCCTCTGCAATGTCAGAAAGTCTCATAGCACTGAGATCTTGCAGGGTTGCCTTACTGATTTCTACATGCTTGAATCCCAATGATGGAATTAACTCTCCCACCTCCTCTGCTCTGATAAACAGCTTTTTGCACAAATTTTTGTTTCTCATGGCCACCACATAGATGATGCAGGCAAGTAGCAGTGCTGACAGCTGCGACTCTGTGTAGCCTGCCAGATCACACTGTGGTGATCCCTCTCTGTTTTTCCTATGCAGTACTTGGATCAGATCAGGCAGACCATATTTGAGAATCTGAAAATGCTGAACCATGCTCCCAGCGTGCAGATCCATGACGTCCCTTCTGACTTGCTCAGCTACGATCGCACAGATGAGCCTGATCCAGAGGAAAGGGGCTCCGAGGAAAACTACAGCAGGTACCAGATCTTTTTCTGGAGAAATGGGCTTCCATTTCTGTCCCTGCTAGGATGGGCAGGTGATGTACTGGAGACCGTCTGTTTCCTAGAACAGATCCTAAGTCACTTCTGAGTCTCTGGTTTTATCCAGGGAGCCTCTCTAGAAACACTTGGTCTCACATAACATTTCATGGGCTGTTTGGGTGCAGGGCGTCTCCTGACCTTTGGCAGCGTGATCTAGGCATTCTTCTCTGGCTCTCCTTGCTGACGGTGGTTGTCTCTTCCCACAGGCCTGAAGCTGCCAACGAGTTTTATGACGGTGACCATGATAACGACAAAGAGAGTGACGTTGAGATCTGAGGGCTCTGGTGTGGGGCTCTAGACTGTGGGGGTTCCTGCGTTGGACACGGGTGCTTGGGGCAGATAACTGGGTCACATTGGAGCCAGTTAGCCCTCCTTTCGTCTTTCATTGCATGTATTGGCATCAGAAACAACACCACTGTAGGCTTCTGCTACCTGGAGAGACAGAGTGTGTTCCTTACTTTCCACCACACGTCATGGTTCCAGCTGTCACTGCTCTGGGAAATGGATATTCAAGCAACGCTCGGATCTGTGCTGCATAGTGGCTGGCAGCCCTGCATCTGCCTTCAGAGCCTGACCCATGACTCCCATACAGGCTCTGCCAGCAAGGTGGGAGCAGAGCAGCTGGGCCTTCCATCTCTCCTCCTCTCTTCGGCAGTAACACCCAATACATCTCGCTCTGCACTTGGGTACCCAGTCGACTCCTCTGAAGCCTACACTGAGAGTTGTTTCCTGATGTCCCTTCAACCATCTGCTGCTCCACAGCTCAAGGAATACTACTCAAGAAGACACAGCCAGTTGTGGGATAGGCGTTGGGAGTATCCCTGGAGCAGGGAGCAGCTTAATGGAGTGGGATGGCAAAATGTATGCAGAGCATAATCATCTTCGTTCCCCCCCCACACACTCAGTTTTGTGTTCACAAACAAGTACTGCAACACTTTGCCAAGTTGGACCTAACTTCCCTCCCTGTTCTCTCTATTCTTTGAGAGGCTAAAATCACTGCGGAACAGAGGTTTGGCTGCCAAGGTCAGTATGTAGTGTGTCTTGCACTCTAATGTAGCTTCCAGCTGTGTTTTCCAAGTTCACACATGGCCCTCCTGTGTGTTAGCAAGAGATGTGGGCTGCTGGCTCTCAGTGGAAACCATTCCTTCTTAACTATGCCCCGGAGACATCGCTCTGCTCGTGGGTGAGGGCAGCTGCTTCCTCCAAGTCCTGTCTTGCCCTCACACAGCAGAGATTTCTCGGCCATCCCTCAAATCCCAGACTTTGCTGCTCTGTCTCCTGAGTTGTGACCTGGTACCTGTCGTGGTTTGGGGAGGCAGGAGGGGTTTAGCCTCTCTCTGTACTCTTCTGTTTGTTTACTGATGTCTTTAAACATGAAATGAAGAGGCGGTATTTTTCTTATTAGACCTGTTGTATGCCTGTTTAATGCTCACACCCTTTTGGCTCCTGTCCTCCCAAGGCTTGAGAACACGCGTATCGTCCCCAGCAGGGCAGCGTCCTTACTCCGCCATCTGAATGAGTGGCGGGCGTTCAGCTCCTCAGAATCCGTGCTGGTGAGTGGTCGGCGTCGGTGCGCAACGAGGAGAGCGCGCTGAATTCCCTTACGAGAGGACACGTGGATGGATGCTCCTGCTTACGCCTCTGAGCCCAGTAAAAGCTTTGCAGGAAGCTGCAGAGCTGATTCAAGAAACCTTTCCCGTAATGGTTTAAAATACCATGGTTTCTTTGAGTTGCAGTTTCCCTAAGAGCCTGCCTTTCCCAGTCTCGCTTTCCTAAAGCCCTTGCTGGTGATGTTTGGTAGTTCACGGAACTCCGGCGTGAAGTGGGCAGTAAGTCAGGGTTACTCCCACGAGGTGCCCGGAGAAGGAAGTTGTGGTAGCATTAGACATGGTGTGAAGGATGACTGAAGGCTCCTCTGTGAGGAATGACTCTGGATGAGGATCCATCAGCTGGGAAGGGAGAACTGAGCTGGGAAAGGAACCAGAAGGTCTGTAAACCCTTGAGTGTCAGAGAGGGTTTCTCCAAATACCAGAGGAGCATCACCAAACTGGCAGGGGCAGCTCGAAAGGAGGAGGTTGCTTTTCACTCCCTCTGGTTGAGCTGTGCAAGCTTTTGTCAGCAGGTGCTGTGAAGGTGGCTTCAAAAAGGGCTGAGGGGGGGGAACAAAATGAGGGTGGTTGTTACAAAGGTGCTTGTGGGCGCCAGCTGTTGGTGGCTGGGTGAGTACAAAGCACTGCTGTGTGCTTCCCCTGGGCTTGTACCCTTCCTGCGTGGCATTTGGGCACTGCAGAGTGGGTGCTGGGCTAGGTGGACCTCGCTGACCCCTGTTTGGTCGGCTGGATTTGTGTCTAGTTCTCCGTAGCTGAGAAAATCTTCCTTGCCCATCAGAAGACAGGGAACGCTGCTGCACTGACGAGCCAGGCTTGTGAAAAAGAGGTGCTTGTGTCCAAACAGAAAGTTTCCTCGGTTTATTCCAGTTCTCTCGGCTGCTGTCATCACTCCCTGTTGCAAAACTGACTTAGAGGAGCCATCCAGGCTCCCCCCTTGGGTAGCAGGAAGTGTTTGCTTTTGGGAAAAACGGATTTTCCCCAGGTACTTCTCCCTTCCCTGTGAAGATGGGAATAACCTTCCCTTGCAAAATCTGCAGCCAGCTCTTCCCCCCAGCTCTGTCTGGGCAGTTCTCCGAGTGCCCCTCTGCCCTGCCTGTGAGACGGGGCTGGACAGTGGGAGCATCGTCTTCTGCGTTTGAGTTGTGCTGGGCAGTGGCCAGGAGACAAGCTCCGTCTGCAGAGATTTTTATCTTCCCTTGTATTTCCCCGCTGCAGCAGAGCTCGCAGCCTCAAACCGCGCGCTCCCCTCGCACCCGAC